TGGTTTTCAACCAGACAACCCTTTCATGCTGATACATTAGCATGACAAAAAGCATCTCTCAGGCCATGAACAAAGGAGAGAATGCACCTGTGTGAGTCAGTTTACCACTAATACCTCAGGAAATTTTGCTGTCTCTGAACTCTTCTAAAGCTAATAAATGCCTACACCCCATTCCCCCCCCTTCTATAATTCCTTCACTATATCCTTTGCTCTCTGAGCTTCCTTGTCTGAATTTGCCCTTCTCCATCCTTCTTCCTTCCCTTTCTATCTCCTCCACTACCACTCCCTACTGACTTAAGAGAAAATGAGAATAGAAATTCTAATAGCTCCCTTTGGAGAAAAGTTGGTCTCAGCCAGAGAGGAACCAGCAATTGTTCCTGATTTTCTCTGGAACCCTGATGGGTTTGCAAAGAAATTTAACTGTTAGAATATGTAATCCTGGCTATTCTAACCTATTCCAACTAATATGCCTACTGGTTTCTGGGAGCAAAAGCAACTTACTAAATAAGTACTTCCTGTGGAGAAGTCTGTCCACTTTAAGGATTATAGGGAATTGTAATGGGATTTTAAAAACACACACAAAAAACAAGCATAGGGCTGCTCTGAGGACTACAAGAAGGCATTTCTCCTTCTCCTTATTAATAGCTTAGGGGAAATTAAAAGTACCGTAAAAGGGGGGCTTATAATTCCATGTATAAGCCCCTGTAATTCTCTTATCCTTCCAGTAAAGAAACCAAAGGGAAAATGATGGAGATTTGTACAAAATTTCAGAGCTATAAATAAACTAGTTGTTCCCAGACAGCCTATGGTTCCAAATTCACATACCTTATTAGCAGCCATTCCCGTGGACTGCCAACATTTTTCAATAGTAGATTTATGTAGTGCCCTCCTCAGCATTTCAGTAGAAAGAGTCAATATTTCTTTGCTTTAACCTGAAAAAATTACAAGTTTACTTGGACAGTAAATGCCTCAGGTATATACAAAGAGTCTCACCTATCATCTTAGATACTAAATGCTGGCTTAAATGATGTTAAATTTCCTAGATATTCCGCTCTAATATCTAGGAAATTTGGATGGTTTTGTTTTATGTTCTAGAAAATAACTAGACTCACAAAACAACACAATATATCTATTACAATAGCTAGCTACAAAGGGACATGGCTATCAAAGAACAAGCTCTGATTCTGTTTACCACAGGTAAAATAATTTGGTTACCTAATATCTATAGATGGGCTACTAATTAACCTTGAAAGACTCAGAGGAATCTTTTCCTTTTCCAAAAATAAACAAGAAAGCAGCTTATAGGATTACTGGGTTTGACTGAATATTGTCACAGATGGGTTCCAAATTTTTCATTAGTGGCCAGCCTCTATGTCTTATTGAAAGGACTGGGAGGGGTTGACATTTGCAATTTCAAAATGGCAGATGCTTAAAACTCCCTTCTTTGACAGAAAAGATCACTTATTTATTCTCACAATATCTCCCTTTTCTTATTTAACTGATTACTCTTTTCTTCAAACTCAGTCAGCATTAGCTGACTTTTATGCTCTGCAGTATCTAGGAGAAAATGATTTTGCTGTTTGGTCAATGTGGTTTCAATTAACCTTTGGATAAGACCTCTCATACATGGGATGATATAACATCCCATCACTGTAACTCCTAACACAATTATCAAAGAGGTGAATATGGATACCATCATCCCCTTCCATTTTCCGAACCATTGCTCTAGTGAATCAGAGAAAGGATCCTCAATTCCAGAATTCTCAGCTCACTCATTATTCATCCCTGTAGGGCCTCAGTAATGGTTCCATCTGGAGCTGTGTTGTCTGGGATGAATGTACAACATTGGCCCCCCAACATTACACAAACTCATCCTTTTACTGCCAGAATCCTTTCCAAAGCCAACTTATTCTCCCACATCATCCTGCTGGTAGCATCTAGTTGTTTAGCTATACCTTTAACTGCATATTGAGTATAGTTAACAAAACTTTGCTGGTTATAGTAAATATAATTAATCCAATCCACATTCTTATTTACAGTGGACCACCAAAACAGGACATATTCAAATCCTGCAGCAATCTGATTTCTAGTCCTAAACTCATTTGGCAGCCCTCTTGGAACCCTAATGGAATCTATGTAAATATGGGGATCAAAGGAGCTCCCTGGACTCTGTTCATTGAAAAAGGTTTACGATATGTCAAAGTGAAAGGGATAGCCAATTTTATCAGAGCACAAGTTCTGCTCCAATTGTGGGCAAGGCCACAAATAATGGTCCCCTGCAATACCACTAGACATCAGCATGGGGTATCAACAGTGCAGAATGATTGGCTTCTGAGGATACTTGGCCATTTACACATCGCATAAATTTCCCATAAACTCTGAGTACTGTTTCCCCAACCCTGAGAGATAGGACGTATAGTTTACATTGGAGGATGGAGGCCAGATCATTTTTTTTGGGGGGGTCCTTGCTCTTTACCTCTGTTGGATGGGAGCAACAGGGAGAGTCTTACAGGAAGTGTTTCCCCCAGGCGATTTTCTCCTGATACAGGGCAAGCATACATTCCATCCCGTTACTGTCTCAGGTCTATCAACTTGGTCCTCTAGCCTTCCTGCCGCACAAGCGTAAACAGTCACTTTTATTTAGGAAGTGTACAGAATATTTAATGCACTCCACCCAGGCATTCATTTCCTTATGTCCTACTTCTATTTGAGAGGGCGAGGGCTACGCCCTCCATCTTACCCCGGATCCTCCATATTTAGGCAGCAGCCATTAACCATGTGCTCCGCAAGGAGCTTCTTCCCGGAAGCCCAAGCCTCTGCTCTTTAAACTAACCAATGACAATCAAGGGAAGTGCGTGCCATAGACACAACCACATCCTGTGTAACAAGACCCCGACTTGCACCTGGCCAATCAGCAGGGCCCACAGTCCTCTCTCCTCCCCTTACTCCAATCCCCCTATAAAACCCCTCTTCCCACAGAGCTAGCTCTCTCTCTGCCACTTGCCACTGCGTTGGCGAGTGTGGGGGGACCTCAAGCTAGCTTGAATAAAGACTCTCTGCTTTTGCATCAGACTCGGCGCTCCCTGGTGGTCTTTTGGGGATCCTGAAATCTGGGCATAACATTTGGGGGGCTCGTCCGGGATCCCCAAGACCCTCGAGGGACCCCCGATCCGGAGAGTCTGACTGGCCATGGTAGGTGTCTGTGTGTTTGTGTGTTCTGTCCTGTGTGAGCTCACGAGGGATGTGTATTCCCCTCACAACGAGGGACGTGTATCCCCCCTCATGAGGGACGTGTATTCCCCTCGAGGATCTGAGACGAGGCGGGTCGCTCCCGCTGGTTGGCGTACGGCCATCGTCTAGATTTCAGTTTGGCTTCCGCGGAGTCGAAGGTTGTTTTGGTTTTGCTTCCATGGAGTTGGAAGACTGTACTCTTGGGCCCTTTAGTTGTCTGCGTTTGTTTTTTTTTCTGTGGACTTACTGGATGGACATTATGGGACAGACTCAAACTACTCCTTTAAGCATTATGGTCGTTTTAAAGTCAAGGGCTGGGCCAAACCTGCTTGCCAGCCTCAGGTGTGGTTTTCCAGAACCGCTGGGAACTTGGGACCTTGAAGCTTACTGAATTCAAATGATAAAAACTTATGTCTAGGTATTTTGAAGTGAAATAATGCTGAAATATTGCTAGAGGACAGAATTGAATCTGTTGGTTGATTATGTCTTGCATTTTTGAAGTTTATTCTTAAAAATGTTACTGATTGAGAAATGCTGAATATTTGATTTGCCAGCTAAAAGTTTAAGGTTTGGATTGAATTGGGAAAAATTGTGTGTTGTGGTAGCTAAATGCCTTTGCTTATTGGTCTGATTAAAAAAGAGGATTAATTTTATGACCGAAACTGAAAATTTTTAATACAAAAACCAGTTTAAATTTAATTGATATTCTTTAAGATAATTATAAAAGGTATAAACAGCTAATGAGATTTCTGTTTTTCTGAAGTTAAATAGCTTATGTCAAAGTCTTTAAAAGGGACTGATAGCAGTAATCCAATTTCTAAAGTGAAGTATGATAACAATTATTTCAGGTATTTCAAAGAGATTAGGGGAGGCTATAGAGCTCCCTCAGGAATTGGGAAATTGTTAGGTAAACTCTGAATGAATGTCTGGTGAAAGTATGTGAGTGTGGAGGGAGGGGGCCTGCCCTCTCCTCTCCTTTGTGTGGCTCCATGACTTCGGTCAGGCGGGCATCTGAGTGAGGATCTGTGAAAACAGGTCACCCCCTCCCTTGTCTGTCTCTCGTCACCGATCATCATGAGGCTGGGACAAAGTTTGTTTGTGTGGGACTAGAAAGCTACTTTGATTTATTCTACTTTCTGTTGATACACTTGGCTGAACGTTTGGGCTGGCCCCTTGATAGTCTGCAAATAGCCTCTCGGCAGCTGCGAGAATTATTTTTCTCAGTCTTTTGCTCACTATTAAGGGGGGAATCAGCCCACTTAGTTAATATAAATTTCTGTCTATCAGTTGCTCTTACATGGGTTGTAAATTCGCTGTATTAAATTGAAATCTTGAAGTTCTAGGGTAGATTTAAAGGCTGGCTAGGTTCCAAGATTATTTGTTAAGAAAAGCAAGAGAGAAGTCTTTTCAAGTTAACTGTTTGCCCAGCAAATTAACAGGGTAGTAAATTTCAAAGAACTTGTTATTTATGGTTTTCTGGTCTCTTTGGTGGACACAAAAGGCTTACAGCTCCGCAGGGAGGAGAGATTTACATAACCTGGTCTTTCCCTTCCTCCCTCATCCTGATTCATCTGTAACTGATTTCAGGTAGCCTCCAGGCTTTCAACCAGCCTGGGCTAAGACAAGGGGGGCGGGGGTGTTAGCAGTTCTGCAGACCGCTAGAAAAGTGGAGGAGGAACAAAGCTGAAGTCCACAGCCGCCCTGGTGATTTAGACCTGTTTGCTAGGCAGACTCAGCCCCTGAGAGCCAGGTCAAAGAAGGGGGGCTGAATGCCTGAACTGCCCGCTGCAGCCCTGAGAGAAGAGGCAGCAGCAAGAGAGTGGGGAGAACAGGGGCTGTTGCTGGTGGTGCAGCTAAGGGTTCGTGGGCGCGAGCAGCTGCAGGCGAGTGCTTCGCTGCCGGCTACATCCAGTGCATACATGAGGTGCACACGTTCGTATCCACGTGCCAGGCCATCAACGCCAACGTCACCGCCCAGCTCCTGAACCACCTGCTTGAGTCCATGCCACTGCGAGAGGGCAGCGGCTTCCGGGATTTGCTGGGGGATGCTCTGGCTGGGCCCCCGGGAGACCCTAGGCAAAGCAGCTGGCTCACAGGAGGGGCTGATATCCCCTTCCAGTGCACTCCCTTGGAAGAGGCCTGATTGCTGCTCTGCCACAAAGAGAACTGGTAGAAAGGCAAGAAAGCAGGGGCCTGTAACTAATAAACAGGGTTCACAAAAGGGCACTCTCCCTGGACCAGGGAGCCATCGGGACTTTGGGATTCTCCAAGGGAGGGGGAGCCTGGCTCGGAGACTGGCCGAGGCCTCGTTGGGTTGGGAGAACCGGAGGCTGCGTATTGAACTTATAGACTGCAGTTTGCTGAGCAGAGGCCCAGGCCCAGTGGTATAGGGGTTAAGCTACCTGTGTACAGTAAAACAACTTTCTCCTGTGCCAGAATACATTTTAAGGAAATTGGACAGACTGTGTTTATCGCTAGAAAGAAGAACTTGCCGCAGTGCACAGCCCTGACAGTAACCTGCAGAAAACTGTATAAAGACTCAGATGATGCCTGCATCTTCATGGACATGGCTCCAAAGAGACAAGGACAATTTTGCCTTATATAGGAAGGTCAAGAGTAGACTTTAGTATCTCATGTGTAGTAGCAGAAGATTTAGCTGCCTGAAGCGGCCATGGTGCCAATATTATGTTTCATTGTATTAATATGTTGTATTAACCTTCAATTCTCTTACAGGTTTAAATGTAGCTGTAGCTGTGGACCGGTGATGGTCTACAGTCCTTGGTAGTCTTTGGGAATAACTGGCAAGTGTCCAGTCTCCCACACTGAGGGACATTGTTATAGCTATGTGTTAGCTGTCCTGGAAGGGGACTATATGGGATGAACCCCAAAAGTAAAGGGTGTCTAGCTGCCAAGAGGGCAGGTGCCCAACTGGGCAAAGAAGAATACCCATCAGGTTTTGGTCTCTATTGAGAGACAGTTGACAGTTGGCAGCCTGTATACTGTCTTGCAGGCCTGCGTGACCATGCCCATGTCAGGGGTAGTACAAACCTAATAGAAGGTCTGAGGCATGGTTATGCATAGAAAGAAGGTTTAAGGAAATTAATCAAATAGTACAGGCCAGTAAGCCAGAGAGAGTGTAAATAGTTATGACTGTTTTGTTATAACTCTGAAGAATCCATGAAAAGGAATTGGCAAGAAAAATCAGAAAATCATAGAGCAGATCAGTATGTTTTTCTCCTTATGTAATTCCTCCGAAATTTGGCAATGCTAAATAAGTCATGGCAATACATTTCTTTGCATAAATTCAATAAGACCGGTTTCCAATAGTGGTTTTATTAATGAAAAACTTTGACTGGAGTATCATGTTTTAAAGAAACCTGTCTGAGCTCTGAAGACTTGAAGCCAATAAGAGTGCCACAGGAAAAGCCTGGTATCCTGCTTGAGAGCCCTGAAGATGGCTGGCGCTGGAGCGTCAGGCCCATGCCCTATCATCACTGGCGGTTGGTCAGAGTAGAAGGGGAGCAATAAGGATGCCTCTGCGTCCCTGCGGAACCCCCACACACTCTGGGCCACAAAGAGTAGGAGGGCTACTGAGATGGGCCTTAAAGCCTAGAGCATGGGCTCAGGTGGAGTTGCTACAGGTGAGGGATTCACCTAACTCAGCAGATACTGCAGGCAGGCCTGATGGCGGCTGGATGGCTTGGCTTCCTGGCCCTATGGGGCACATTAAGATTCAATCATGAGATTCCAGCAAAGGTAGTCAGTTACCATTCTTGTTGTGTTTATGCAAACATCAGGCCAAATTGAATACAGTAGATAAATTAGTCTTGATTTGGCTTTTTGATAGCCATAGAGGAATTTTAAGAAGAAAAATCCTATTTCAATAGAGGTTGTTAAAACTAAAATGGTTTCTTTCCCTTCCACCGGACCATTTGTTATAGTTTGTCTCTGCCAGGTCACAAGCCCAGCTCCTTCTGTGCCCAGGACAGCAGGGAGCCTGAGTGGAAGGTGACACCCACTGCAGATCACCCTCAAGAAGACAGCGGACCTCGCATCCTCCTAATGCTGTTGACTTTCGGCCCCTGCATCATCATCAGGCTAGTTCAGTTTGTCAAGGAGCAGGTAGGGATTGTGCAGATGATGGTTCTACACACCCAGTACAGGCCTCTAGCAGAGAAATGCAAACCAACCCATGATTGGGCCTGTAAGTCTCAAGACAAGGGGGGAATGAGAGGGCGAGGGCTACGCCCTCCATCTTACCCCGGATCTTCCATATTTAGGCAGCAGCCATTAACCATGTGCTCGGCAAGGAGCTTCTTCCCGGAAGCCCAAGCCTCTGCTCTTTAAACTAACCAATGACAATCAAGGGAAGTGCGTGCCATAGACACAACCACATCCTGTGTAACAAGACCCCGACTTGCACCTGGCCAATCGGCAGGGCCCACAGTCCTCTCTCCTCCCCTTACTCCAACCCCCCTATAAAACCCCTCTTCCCACAGAGCTAGCTCTCTCTCTGCCGCTTGCCGCTGTGTCGGCGAGTGTGGAGGGGAGCTCAAGCTAGCTTGAATAAAGACTCTCTGCTTTTGCATCAGACTCGGCGCTCCCTGGTGGTCTTTTGGGGATCCTGAAATCTAGGCATAACACTATTTGCATGGTGGTGGCATTGGCCAGGGGTTCTTGTCCTGTGACATCTACTCCTAAATCTAGTCCTAGCCAATCTTTTGGCCTAAAGGCTGAAATATCCAAGTCATTCAAGTTATCTATAATCAATAACTTAACTGGGTAAGTATGGATTGTACACATTTCCCCAGCCCACATTGTAAGCCCTGCAATTTGCCAGAGCCCTAAAGCAAATAGACAGCTTACAGTTTCTTTAGCGTTAATTACAAGGGTCTATGTCCTGGTATGGCCATCCAAGTTGAGGTGTTTCCACCCGGAGAAGCTGGTGGTCCACCCTTAACCCATGTGTGATGAGTCCAACCTCATTCTGCAGTCCGAACAGCAGTCTCAGTGGTAAGCAAGATGAGGTAGGGTCCTTCCCAGGATGGTTCCAACTTGTTTCCCTCTAGGTCTTGACCAGAATGTAGTCTCCCGGTCGATGGCAATGAGCTAGGAATTCAAGAGTAGGGCCTTGGGTCAGGAGGCCTTCTAACCTGAGAGAGATTAAAGTAGAAGAGATACCCAGTACATAGTTCTTAAGAAATTGGTCCATAGTCTCCATTGTAGGAAGATTTGAGGCATTCCAGGGCCTATTGGAATAACCTGAAGCCAATTCTAGGTCAAGAAAGAGTTTAACTTCTTTTGTCCTTGGGTGTGGACAGCAAAAGACACTAATTGGATTTCTGCTATCTGTCTCCCTGGGTACTTTGATATAAGCTATTTGCCCTCTGGTTAGGGAGGCAAAATGCAAATCATTTACTCTTAAATGTCCTTGGTTTAAGAAAGATGGGATTTACTAAATGGCTCCAAATTGCTGCTTAATCCTCTCAGGTTCCTTATTCTACTTACCCTGGCTTACTGGCATGGGTCATTTATATAACTTCCTTTTAACATTTCTCTTTACAAACATTACCCTTCCTCACAAACCTTACAACTTCCAGAACCCACTTTTTTTCCTTTCAAAATGACACCAAAACAATAATTTCTTTCCAATTAGAATTCTTAACCCTTAGAAACCTTAATCTTTAGGTGACATGTAAGTAACTAACATTCCTCAGATTAGCAATATATTCACATTTTTAAGAGAAATTTTAGATAAAATACAAGACTTATTCATTAACAGATTCAAATCCATCCTTTAGTTTCTCCATACAAGGCATATTCAGATTAATATTTCAGTATCCTGTTATTTCAAAATACCTTGATATTTAACAATTTTTATCATTTAACCCAGAAAACTCAAAGTTTTAAATTACAGGACCCCAGGACGTGTGGGGGTCAACCTTGGAATGTGGTCCATTCTCATTCAAGAACTGCCCATCATCATGGAAACATTAACCTTGTTACCTAAACATTTGAATCCCACCCCAGTCCACATTGTTTACTTCGCCATGCCTTTAATCCCTACTTTGCCATGTTAAACTAAGTCCCCCAAAATATAGAAAGCAAGCAAGGCAAATCAGTAACCAAAATTACATAATAGACATATAGACAAAAATCTTACTAGCTAAGAGTCTGTTGGCTGACGCCCTGAGAGGGAAAGCATGAAGGGTCCCCAAACTGGTATGTTCCTGCAATCTCTACCACGTGTTCAGTCTCGCCACAAATACCTGGGCTCTCTTAAAGCAGGATGTGCCCCATCTTTAAACAAATTAAACCAAATAACAAAGAGACACAAAAACATCAACAGAAATACTCTTACACAGGTGCACAAGCATGACCCACAGACACTACAGCACCCTGCATAAAAAAACCACTGAAGCAGAGCAATGTCTCCTGTCCTGAACCTCAGCATTCTCCCCAATGAACTATTCGCGGGAGGAGGGAGGGAGTATTCCTTAAGCCTAGAATTTTTGTTTCCCATCCTCGGAAAGTCCCTTGTGACTATGTTGGAGATAACTTGCACTGTGCTCAATCCCCCATATTAGAGATTTCTCACACTCCTTCAAATCTGCTTCGTGCCTCTCTGGCCACTTCCCTCACAGGAGAACAGAACCACAGATCATAACTCCGCACTCGCTTTATGTCCAAGACACATCCCAGTCACATACACCTGACCTCCGAGGATACCCAATCACCAAAATAGTACTTAGTCCAATTCCCCACCTTGGCTCATGCATGAGTTACCTGATTGCCACAGATCTTGCTTGCTTGGGCCCTTCAGGCATTGCTGGCTGACTCTCGATCCCGAGCTCATAGTCAGTCCAGGGGTAATGGCTATCCCTCCTCACCGAGGCTGCCACAACTTGGCAGTGGGGTGCACTTCCTTAGGAGAGGGGTGCAATGACCCCTCATAGCAACCAATGGAATCCCAGATGAGCCCCCAAATTTGTTAGAAATAAGGCAAGCCCCCAAACTATGGGGTCCTGGCAGAACACAAAGGATACTCAGGAGCCAGGCAGCAAGGCAAATATCTTTAATCCTGCAGAAGGGTGCACATGCACATGGTCTGGGAACACATGTACACTGAGCAGCAGTCCACTCGAGCCTTTATTCCTGACAAACATGGTCTGTCCCTCACTCTTGATTGGAAGAGCTTAGGCTCACAATCTTGTGTGATTGGCTAATTTAAAGGGAGAGGTTGGCCTTTGCTGTTTCAATGGCAGCTCCCAAGTCACGTGACTCAAAATGGTGGCTGCCTAAACTCCCTTCTTTGACAGAAAAGATTACTTGTTTATTCTCACAGACCCCTGACCTTTCCTCCCTAGAGATAACATCTATGTCTCGAGTTATATATCTATGTATTTTGAAAGGGCGAGGACCACGCCCTCCATCTTACCGTGTCCTCCATTTTGGGGCAAACATGTGCTCAGGAAAGCACCTTCTTCCCGGAAGCCCAGGCCTCTGCTGGCCACGCCTGGGATTTCTTTAAACTAACCAATGACAATCCAGGGACGTGCGCGCCGTAGAGATGACCACATCCTATGTAACAGGACCCGGCTTGCGCCTGGCCAATCGGCAGGGCCCACAGTCCCCTCACTCCACCCCCTATTAAAACCCTGTGTTTCCCACGCCATCTCACTCTGCTTCCTGTCGCTGCGTCGGCCAGGAAGGGGAGGCGAGCTAGCTCAAAAATAAAGGATCCTTTGCTTTTGCATCGAACATGGCTGGCTCCCTGTTGGTCTGTGAGGATCTTGAAATCTGGGCATAACATTTGGGGGCTCGTCCGAGATCCCCAACACCATCCAGGGACCCCAGTTCAGAGGGTCTGGCTGACCGCGGTATGTGTCGTTGTGTGTTTGTATCTGTTTGTTTCTGTCCTGTGTGAGCTCACTTCTGAAATCTGTATTCGCCCGCATTGATCTTAAGTGGACGCATGGGGATCAAGGGCAGGAGGAGTCGGGGGACGCCTCGGCCCTCCATCTGAAGGGGTGTAGCTTTGCTTCTGCGGAGTCGGAAGGTCTGTAGAAGCCCCTTAATCTGAGACAGGCGGGTCGCTCCTACTGGTTGGCTCGCAGCCATCGTTTTTGGTTTTTGCTTCCATGGAGTTGGAAGATTATTTTGGTTTCGCTTCCATGGAGTTGGAATACTGTATTTTAGGGCCTCTTAGTTGTCTGTGTTTGTGTTTTTTCGGTTTTATTTTGTGGACTTACTGGATAGACATTATGGGACAGACTCAAACTACTCCTTTAAGCATTATGGTCGATCATTTTAAAGAGGTAAAGGGAAGGGCCAGCAACCTCAGTGCGGAGGTTTGGAAGGACCGGTGGCGGACTTTTTGTTCTAGGGAGTGGCCGACTTTTAATGTTGGGTGGCCGCCGGAGGGGACTTTCGATCTCCCCACCATCCGCCGGATTAAGGACGTCATCTCCCAGCCCAAAGAGGGACATCCTGGTCAACTCTCTTAAATTGTTACTTGGCAGGACCTCGTGGAAAATCCACCATCTTGTCTTAGGCCCTTCCTACCTCCACACCCTCTGGAGCCAGAACCCATTCTTGCCTTGCAGGAAGCGGAGAAGAGGAAGGAGAAAAAAGCCACCCTGCCGTCAGCTCCAGCTCCCCCCTACCCGGTTTTGCAGGGGGGAACTGGAGAAGAGTTAATTTTTCCTCCCCCGTATCATTTCCACAGGATGCCGAAGAGATTTGATCCTGCCCCGTCGCGGGAAGCTGACACAGTTCCGGGAATGCCTGGGGGCGGAGTTCTGGGAATGCCTGGGGGCGGAGTTCCGGGAATGCCTGGGGGCGGAGTTCCGGGAGTGCCTGGGGGCGGAGTTCCGAAAGTGCCTGGGGGCGGAGTTCCCAGAGTGGCCGCGGTTCCGGTTCTGGTAGGAAGCCCGCCTCTCACCCGGCAAAGAGCTCAGCGGGAACTGTCTGTTGCAGCACCCGACTCCACTATCAAGACCCTGCCCTTACGGGCCACTGGACCCCCGGATGCGGATGGCAACCAGCCCCATTTTTACTGGCCTTTCGCAACTAGTGACTTGTATAACTGGAAGGCACAGAACCCTAAGTTCTCCGAAAAGCCGGGGAGACTTATTGACTTGCTAGATTCTGTTCTTTTCACCCATCAGCCCACATGGGACGACTGTCAGCAGCTTTTACAGGTTCTGTTCACAACGGAAGAGAGAGAAAGGATCCTCAATGAGGCCCGGAAGATGGTTCCTGGTGTAGACGGAAACCCAACCACAAACCAGGCCCAGATAGATGTCTCTTTTCCTTTAACTAGGCCTGAATGGGATTTCAACACGGCAGAAGGTAAGGAGAGGCTTTTGGTCTACCGCCAGACTCTAATGGGGGGTCTCCGCAGGGCTGCTAGAAAGCCCACCAATTTGACCAAGGTAGGGAACATACAGCAGGAAAGAGATGAGTCTCCAGCTGCCTTTCTAGAACGGATCATGGAGGCATATCGCATCTACACCCCCATGGATCCAGAAGCCCCTGAGAATAAGGCAGCTGTAATATTGAGTTTTATAAACCAGTCAGCCATGGACATTAGAAAAAAACTGCAGAGAATAGATAGGTTAGGAGAAAAGAGTTTACAGGATTTACTGGCATTGGCAGAGAAGGTGTTCAATAACCGAGAGTCCCCTGAGGATAGGCAATCCCGCGCCATGGTGGCTGCCAGTGACAAGCAGACCTGAAACCTGGCCAAGATTCTGCTAGCCACCACCATGGAGTCCCCTGAGGAGCGGACCCGCAAACTTCGCCAGCTTGCTGATGGCCAAGAAAGAGGTAAGGGAACCGCCCGGGGTGGGAGAAAGAAGCTGCAATGGCACCAGTGTGCTTACTGCAAAGAGATAGGGCACTGGGTCCGAGAATGCCCAAAGAAGGCCGGTAAAAAGGAAAACAAGACGGACCGGGTGGAGGTCTTGGAGCTGGAAGGACTGAGTGATTAGGGGAGTCGGGGTTCGGACCCCCTCCCCAAGCCCAGGGTAACTCTTAGAGTGGAGGGGACCCCTGTTGACTTTCTTGTTGACACTGGAGCACAACATTCGGTTCTCCGCACACCTCAGGGGAAGCTAGCTAATAAAAAGTCCTGGGTGCAAGGGGCAACTGGCATGAGCCAGTATTCATGGACTACCCAAAGAACAGTAGATCTAGGAAAGGGCCGGGTATCCCATTCTTTCATGGTAATACCAGAGTGCCCCTACACCCTATTAGGACGGGACTTGCTAACCAAGATTGGAGCCCAAATAACCTTCAGACAAGGGGGGCCTCAGGTCACCGCTGGTGAAGGCCACCCCATCCAGGTTCTGACTCTGAGACTGGAGGATGAATATCGCCTCCACCAGGGGGCGCCCCCAGTAGAGAACAATATGGACAGGTGGCTGCAAGAATTCCCCACAGCCTGGGCAGAGACGGGGGGAGTAGGACTGGCCACCCACAGGGCCCCCACCCTGGTAGAGCTAAAACCAGGAGAAGGCCCAATAAGAGTCAAACAGTACCCTATGTCCCAGGAGGCTCGGAAGGGAATCCAGCCTCACATCCGGAGACTGAAAAGCCTAGGGATACTGGTTCCATGCCAATCTGCCTGGAACACCCCCCTCCTGCCAGTCAGAAAGCCCCACACGAATGACTATCGACCAGTCCAGGACCTCCGGGAAGTAAATAAGAGTCCTGGATATACACCCAACCGTTCCTAACCCATACACTCTCCTAAGCTCTCTTGCACTCTCTAGAGTCTGGTATACTGTATTAGACTTGAAGGATGCCTTTTTCAGCCTGCCGCTAGCGCCTCAAAGCTAACCCCTGTTTGCCTTCGAGTGGCACGACCCAGAGGAAGGCTACAGTGGACAATTAACCTGGACGCGATTGCCCCAAGGATTCAAGAATTCACCCACCATCTTCGACGAGGCGCTGCATGAAGACCTCGATGAGTACAGGAGAGAGCACCCCAATCTCACCCTCCTTCAGTACGTAGATGACATCCTGATTGCTGCCGATACCGCCAAAGATTGTGAGCAAGGGACCAAAGATCTGCTGGCCACCCTAGGGACCTTAGGGTACCGGGCCTCTGCGAAGAAGGCTCAGATATGCCAAAAGAGGGTGAGTTACCTGGGATACATACTGGAGGGGGGACAGTGGCGGTTGTCAGATGCTAGGAAAGAGACAGTCTTGAAAATCCCTGCTCCCACCTTCCGGAGGTAGGTGAGGGAGTTCCTAGGATCAGCTGGCTATTGCCGCCTCTGGATACCAAGTTTTGCTGAGATCGCCAGGCCCCTATATGAAGCCACCAAGGAGGGGAAGGCCTTTAAATGGACTGAGACAGAAGAAATTGCCTTTAATCAGATAAAGAAAGCTCTTTTGGCTGCTCCAGCCCTGGGCCTACCAGACATTATAAAACCCTTTCGCCTCTTTGTAGATGAGCGCAAAGGAGTAGCAAAAGGGGTTTTAACCCAGGCTTTAGGCCCCTGGAGTCGCCCAGTAACATATTTGTCTAAAAAGCTGGATCCCGTAGCCGCCGGCTGGCCACCGTGCCTAAGAATCATTGCGGCAACCGCGGTCTTAGTCAAGGATGCTGACAAACTGACCCTGGGACAGGAGATCTGGATCACAACCCCACATGCCATTGAAGGGGTCCTAAAACAGCCTCCTGATAGGTGGATGAGCAATGCTCGCATGACCCACTATCAAAGCTTGCTGCTCAACCCCCCAAGAGTGCGGTTCCATCCCAGTGTGGCCCTCAACCCTGCTACCCTGCTACCTGACCCTGACCTAGATGCTCCACTACATGACTGTGCGGGAATCCTGGAGCAGGTACATGGACTTCGGAAGGACTTGACCAATCGGCCCCTCTCGGATGCAGAGGCCACCTGGTTCACAGATGGAAGCAGCTTCGTGCGGAACGGGTGCAGGTACGTGGGTGCGGCGGTGGTTACCAACACGAACACTGTGTGGGCGGAGGCTCTGCCCCCTGGGACATCAGCTCAGCGAACAGAACTCATTGCACTCACCAAGGCACTGACACTGGGGGCTGGAAAATGGCTTAACGTTTACACAGACAGCCGTTATGCATTTGCTACAGCTCATGTTCACGGGGCAATCTACCAGGAGAGAGGGCTATTGACAGCAGAGGGACGGACAATAAAAAGTAAGCAGGAAATCCTCGACCTGCTCGCGGCCTTATGGCTTCCTGCCAAGTTAGCCATAATCCACTGCCAGGGACACCAAAAAGCCGATGACCCGGTAGCGAAAGGTAACCAAAAGGCTGACCAGGCTGCAAAGGCAGTAGCCCTTACTTCGGTCCCTACCATGGCCTTACAACTACCAGACCCAGGGGACCCAGTCTTACCAGACCAGCCCAAGTACTCCCATGAAGAGTTGCAACGTATCAAAAAGCTCCCCAAAGCCCAGGAAATAAAGGGATGGTGGCATACACCAGAAGGAGAACTTATACTGCCGGACTGGCTCGGGGACACGATATTAAAACATATGCACCAATCCATTCACCTGGGAACCCGGAAAATGAAGGACTTAATCCAACATGCCAGGATCAAAATTCACCAGCAGAATACCAAGATAGATCAGGTTGTGTCTGCCTACAAGACCTGTCAACTTACAAACGCAAGGGTCGGATCAAATGAAAAAGGGACCAGGCTCAGAGGCACCAAACCGGGAGCACAATGGGAGGTCGACTTCACTGAAATTAAACCAGGGAAGTATGGTTATAAATATCTTTTAGTATTTATAGACACCTTCTCTGGATGGGTAGAGGCATACCCAACCAAGCATGAAACAGCTCAGACGGTGGCCAAGAAGCTGCTGGAAGACATCTTACCCAGGTATGGTTTTCCTGCTATGATAGGATCCGACAATGGGCCAGCCTTTATTTCACAGGTAACGCAGGTAGTAACCAGGGCTATTGGGGCAAATTGGAAACTACATTGTGCTTATAGACTCCAGAGTTCAGGTCAGGTAGAGAGAATGAACAGAACTCTAAAAGAGACCCTTCGGCCCCAGTGTGGTCGGGACGGCCCTGGTGAGGTTGAAACGG